TTCTCACTCTCCCAGTCTTTACGCTTTCACCGGATGCTGACACTGACTCGCAATTTCGCTGGCAGCCGGAAGAAGACTGCCTGGGGACTTGGAAGTTCTATTCAGGAATGTGAATGATGCTTCATGAGAGAGCCTCCTATGCATGCGAGTGAGGTCAGTGAAAGATCCAATTTATTGCTAGAGCTGATTTGTGGTGCTGCGTATGACCGAACAATGTGAGCAGTGATAGCAAAGGAAGTGAATGATGCCAGAAAACAGACTCTTCACACTAAATCTAGAACTCTAGAGAAACATTCCTCCAACCCAGGCAGGCACTGAACAGCACATTAATCGCTCTCTACCAGGCCAACTGTTGGAACAAGCAATTGTCATGGATCCAAATGCCAGAACCATCTGACTGCCAGGGCTGGACCAAAAGGAAAACAACTGTGGGGTGTGCTGGAGCCTCTTTGCGACCACTCTCCCTGAAGCAGCAAAATCGTGTCATGAATTAACACTGTCGCTGCGGAAAGCTGTGCAGGGTCCGTGTGCGTGGCTGATCGCCTGCAAGTGCTGCCAAAGCTTGCACTCAAGTGCAGTGCACTGTCGCTTCTTGTTCTGGGAGACTGTTGAGATTTGAACATTACCAATAGGATATTTGAAAACTAGTATTCGACTTTCTTTGAAACGTAATTCGACCTACCTTGACCTAAACGCATGTCCTTTAGTTCTGGCAATCTTAAAAGTATCACAAATGAATTGAAATGGCGGTCATCCCCAATTAGTGGAAAATTGGACACCTTAAAACGTTTTTCTACACTGTTTGGTTCCAAAATTAAGTGCGTTTGCACATTAGACCCGGATTGTGGACTGGGGCCATCTTGGATTTTGACCTCTCACGGTCCTCAGAGGTTTTCAAATCTGACCTTTGCTTCTCCCTCCACACATCGCCCTGAAAAAGTAACGCACTCGGCGCCATGCGGGAGTCCGGGTATACTAACTATGGCCTCGAGAAACGCTTTCATGCTCCTTCTCATAAAACATGCAACAATGGTCCCCTGTTGTTGTGGTTATCTTGCGCGGTTGGCCTGCACTACTTTGGTGATGCAGCACCCCAAAACCTCGTAGAGGCGGACAAATAGTGCAAGTTCTCTCATCACACGAGCCGAAAATTACACGTCAATACGTGCACAGTTCTCTCATCACACACCAAAATGTAACGATAATAGTGCCACAGTTCTCTCATCACACACCAAAATGTAACGATAATAGTCCACGGTTCTCTCGTCACGCACAAAATGTAACGGTAATAGTCCACGACTCCACGGTTCTCTCGTCACGCACCAAAAATGTAACGATAATAGTCCACGGTTCTCTCGTCACGCACCAAAATGTAACGATAGGGTTTGACGCTACACACAGGCGTGCAAGGAGAAGAGTAGGAGAATAACCAAGGGAGTAAATAACAATAGGCGAAGAACAAATGTAGAGGGCATGATTTAGCTTTATTGACTCGTAACGTCGAACGTGGATTCACACCGGCGAGTGACTGGGTTACGTCCGAACTTGGGTCAGAACACCAACGTGGGTCTGCAAACCCTAGTTATCCTTCTTCCAACTGCTTCTACGCATCGCGCATACATCACATACATGACACCGCGCGTCACGAGCTCGAGCGTGCGGCACGACTGTTGCCGTTGACACCTGTGGTCACGATTCCCGCGCGTGGCAGCATCTATTCTTAATACGATATAGTTTTATAGAATATAGTTAGAATATGCTTTTGATTGTAATATTGGTCGATACAACTACTTTCTCTCTTCATCCCTCCCCTCTTCCTTTTCTCGCTCTCATCTGACTCGTCGATTCTCGCACCACTCCTCTTGCGCTCTCTCCTTCTATACATCCTCTCGCACCGCTTGCCCACTTCTTGCTTTCCACTCCATTTCATCTTCTTTTCTCCAATTCTGCTCTCTCTCTCCTCTCTCTCTCTCTCTCTCTCTCTCTCTCTCTCTCTCTCTCTCTCTCTCTCTCTCTCTCTCTCTCTCTCTCTCTGCCTCTCTCTCTCTCTCTCTCTCTCTCTCTCTCTCTCTCTCTCTCTCTCTCTCTCTCTCTCTCTCTTCTCTCTCTCTCTCTCTCCTCTCTCTCTCTCTCTCTCTCTGGGTCTCTCTCTCTCTCGCTCTATCTATCTCTCTCTCCCTCTCTCCCTGCTTTCCCCATCTCTCTCTCTCCCTCTCTCACGCACGCACACTTTCGATCCCAGTCTCTCTTCTCCCTCTCTCTCTCTCTCTGCTCTCTCTCTCTCTCTCTCTCTTTTTCTCTCTCACACATCCATGCTCACCAAGTGAAAAGCCCAGCCTGTTAACCCCACTCAACCTTCTGGTCTATTCAAGACCACATACATAATTGGAAATTCAGACATTTTCCAACATATGCAACTAAAAATACAACAATCTAAGATTTTAAAATACTGAATATACCAGCCGAATTTATATATAATTAAGACGAGAGCTTACAACGAATGATTAATTGTAATTCACTCTCTCTTTATCTAATTCATATAAAACATATCGACAGATGCATCAAAGTGATGAAATATTACAACCGCCACGTCAACGATAAAAATAACTACACGCACTTATTATTCGCTACTTAGCCATAGTTAATATTATGTACCATGTATACCCAGGGCGTAGCTACGGGGGGCCTGGGGGGGGGGCACGAGCCCCCCCCAAAATTTCTTGTGCCCCCCAGGTGCCCCCCACTAAAAATTCATGCTTGATAAAAAAAAATTGAATTAAAAACAATGCCGTTACAAAGAAAAGTTATATATTGTTCCCCCCCCACGAAAATGTAAGGAGCCCCCAGTGCCCCCCCCCCGCTGGAAAAATCCTAGCTACGCCCCTGGGTATACCTGCTAGTATCACATACCACCTACCGGAAGATTGATATCCTGTTAGTTAATACCCACGTTGCATTTATAAAAATATAAAAATTCAAATTAAACGCATTAAATATTACGAGCAGGAAATCCGCTCACCCGCGCCCACGAGCTCTTGTACGCTACAGCACCAAGCACCTCGGCTCTCCACAACGATTCTGAAGAATGTCGCCGTCTACTGCCATGCAATGAACATCTCACCGACAAGCCGCCAGCGTGCAAGAGAGAGAGAGAGAGAGAGAGAGAGAGGAGGAGAGAGAGACGAGAAGCGTGGACTTGCCTGGGGTCTAGACTACAGTGCTGGCAAGCTACGCGATGAATGCATGCGTGGCAAAATGCTTGCTCAGACATGCTGCGGCTGTTGGCTGGCTGGTATGGCTGTTTGCACGCAGAGCAGGGCTCTCGCTCTGGGAGGGAATAGATGGATCGATCGATCGAGGGCTCATTAATCAATACTGCCCTGGCAACAGGAAGTCAGACTCCAGCGAAATTCACGATTGCATCTCACTAGCCCACAAATTATTTTTGCGGATTTTCACTGGATTGCGAGTACGGTCGGTGGTATGGATATAGGAAACCTGATATGTATGAGATCGAAATGAAAACAATGCAATTACCCAGCAGAATAATAATGCATAGACGCATAGGTGCACATAAACACAAAATAACTGCTCAAAAATCATTACTTCCAAAATAGCGTACATAACAAACCATACGTGAACTATGATTATTTTTGTACTGGATCCGTCGAAAAGCATCTGTACATAAGGCTATCCCGCAAATAATACACACACGCGTACAGCAAACAAAACTAGAAAGGGCAGTTGTCGCCAACTACATGTATCCCCCGTGATCTAGTATGAATGAAATATCTCTGTAAGGACGTAGAAGGTAGGTAAAGTTAAATAAGTCACAAAGACAAAGGTTTGTTACACAAACCCATCTGCGCTGAGATGTGCAAGTATGTTAAAATTGGTTGCCTTAGGGGTTTTGGTACGCGACACACCTTCTCCGCCAAGATGTGTAAGTATATCCAAGTTTGGTAGCGCTAGGTCAATTATGGGCCGAGTTATAGAGCGGAAGGGAAATATGATCAAGGTCAAGGAAAGGTCAAATAAAGGTCGTAGTGACCTGGTTTTGGTACGCTGCGCACCTTCTCCCCAAGATGTGTAATTACCAAGTTTGGTAGCGCTAGTCAATTAGGGGCCGAGTTATAGAGCGGAATGGAAATATGATCAAGGTCAAGGTAAAGGTCAAATATAGGTCGCAGTGACCTGGTTTTGGTACGCGACACACCTTCTCCCTAAGATGTGTAAGTAGACCAAGTTTGGTCACGCTAGGTCAATTAAGGGTCGAGTTATAGAGCAGAAGGGAAAATATAGGCGGCGGCGGCTGGACAGACATGAAACCATAGTATCCCCGCCGACTTCGTCGCAGGGGATACAAATATACAATCGTGTGACGAATATGTATTAACCGTCAAGTTATATGTGTACACGAGTGTACCTGCGTGCGTGCGTACGTACATGTGTAGATAGCGATAGAGACAGCGTCAGAGACAGAGACAGAGACGGGCGGGCGGACGGACGGACGAACAGATAGATGGATAAATGGAAAGCCTGTAATGTGCATGTGAAAGAATTGGGTAACAACCACATTTATACTTCAATTACAATTTCAGATGCTTGTATTTGCTTTCACAATCGTTCAACAACGACGACGACGACGACGACGACGACGACGACGACGACGACGACGAAGAAGAAGAAGAAGAAGAAGAAGAAACAATGACTATTGATTGCAGCTTACTACAATGACTCTGACGTTTAGAAAGAGTATAGAGATGCCTAAGGAACAATGATGCTACAGCTAAGGTTTCTGAGCTAGAACTCTGATTTCTACAACCTGGCGATCGTGACAAAACAACAGAAAGAAGAATACGAAGAACAGTGCGATCACGTACATAGTGTTAAATTGAATGTGTGTCATATAATGTTCTTCACGCTACACTAATGACATCATCTCATCGCTCCGTATTTGGCTTCTATGTTGTAGGAGAAGATGACGGCATCAGCTGAGGAGGAGGAGGTGGGATCAGTGAACGCGTGCAGCAGCAGCAACACCAGCAGCCCGGTCACTGCCTCCTCCCCAGAAGTGCACGTCATCACGGGCGGGGGAGGCTACGTGGGACTGAACATCGCGAGGGAGCTACAGGCCAAGGGGCATCGCATCGTGCTCTTCGACATCAGCAAGCCGACGGAAATGCCCCACCCTGACATGAAGTTTGTGCAGGTAACAGTTGCAATCACATTCGAGTTTGTTGTTATTTCTATTAGGTGTATTTTTTGACTGATGATAGCAGCCCAGCACTCTTAATGGTAGACATTGATAGCTCATCAAACAGGAAAGTTCCATCTTAGTTGGGAGTACAGCTAGTTAACATAGCCCTCTCTGCAATACCACAAAACTGTGGGGTGTATTGCTATGTTGGGGTAGTACCAACAAGTGGGTTTGGTCCCAAGCTCATAAACGTGGTGAAAGATCACACGATAAGACGTGCCTACGTATACATCTTTTCACTGACGATGCGGTTATTTACCATACAGTTTACAGTAAAGATGGCCAAGTACCCCCGCAGAGTATCATTACCTGTGTTGAAAAATGGACTTCAACCTGGGGCATAAATTTCAATCCTGACAATTGCTCTTAACCTTTGCCTACTCACTTTTTCTTGAGTACGTATCACTTGTTTGACGTTTGTATATATTTACACTAACCTACTAATATTTCGGTGTTATCATAAGAAGCGACCTTTGCTGAAACGCCTACATTGATAACATTTTCAAAAAGACCACTCACTCTTTGGGCATGCTTAGTAACCCCTTAACCCTTCTGTTGCTTTCACATCATTTTTTGTTGACAATAAACCCCGGTTCCTGACCTTTAAACCACGGTCCTCGCGTTTTAAAAATATGCCTCATCGGACTGAGCCTTGTATACCCTACAAAACCACCAGCGATTGGAATCTATTCAATACAAAGCCGCAAGTTGGTACACGAGAAACTACAATACAAGATCTAGAAATATTCTCACCGATATGCCTAATGCAAGCGTCTACAAGACTTATCATGGCCACGTTGAAATTGCTATCTCTCATCTTGTTTAATGAAATCCTCTTGGCATAGTCTCTCGTCTGCCTCTGACCATTGTTTCCACCATGTCTCGTCCTCAAAAAGGACCCATGCGTATTTACTTAATTTGTTTCGGTAATTCCTTACTGAAACTCACTTCCGTCATCTGTAGTAAACTGTGTGTGAAAATCTTTTTGACGTCACATCATAAACACACCATCTTCCTTATAGTCCGTTGGACTCTGAAGAATTACCATTACAACATTACGAGATTTTCATCTGACCCTTTAATATGGGCACAGGCGTGGCCCACTAATAGTGAGCTATAGCGCAGTGAAGGCTATGGTGACTAGGAGTTAAGTTGGGAGCTAGCTAGCTAGTAATTACAAGTGTGCACTAATTATAATAATTTTAATAATTATAATAAAAAAAATCATTATAATTTTGCGACATTCAGCTTCTAATGTACCGTGCACATGCTGCTGACATGATGTAAATATTTATCGTGAGCCAATCAACAATCTGTCGGCCACGAGACGTGTTCTATCCGCTTAGGAGGTAATGTACACAGTGCTCTTGGTGTTATGCACGTACCCGTCAGTCTAGCTGCAGCGCTGTTTACATTTGGAAGCTGCTGCACTGCTCACTTTACGCTCTACTGCAAACGCGAAGAAAAACTCGCAATGGTTTGCACAGGCCAGATGGCGTTTCTGTGGCATCGACATCTGACGGAGAGCATTTTGCGGCTGCAAAGAATAAACATGGATCAAAAATCAATATGGAGTATAAAAGAGACCCAACCGACACGGGCGTGGCATACCCTCGTGATTCTGAATTGGCAATAAATGCTATAAACGATTGTATAACATGATGAGAATTCGCTACGGTATTTTTATAGTGGTTTGTGTGAGATTGTTATTTATTACGCCCTCACGATTACCATGTGTCCGATTATCACCCGCGTGCGTGTCTTGATAATTTCATCGTGCTAGATCAAGAAAAGCACATTTAGTATTCATGAGACGATGCATTTCTGAAGATCCTGTTTTGCAGACGATCCTGTCTAGATATTTCTGCAGGCTTGAAGCTATAGTTCAGCATTGATGAGAGATTATACAGTAACTATCTGTATCACGAAAATTAATATACACTGCATGTAATAACATTTGGAAATAAATTGTTTGTATATATATGTTCGTAGCAGTGTTATTGCGGTTGTTGAAATCTAGGGGTAGCTGCAACGCAATTGCTACCAGTAGCCAACTGAGCAATTACTTTGATTGTGAGAGACAAGTTGCACCGTTGTCTATACTACTTTCTCTCAAATTTGGATTGAAAAGTCACAGTCATTGATCTAACAAACCATGGATCGATCAGGGTTCTACGTTAGAGTTTCTACGCCATGAAAGTCGACCCGCCTCCTAACACACATGATCTAATAATTTGCTTATTTTGTCGTCAAACAACGATAGCTTTACGAAAATAAAACCCTGTCAGCCATGCTGGCAACCGTTCGATCAGACTGACTGTTTATATAATGCCGGGACATTATTATATGATTGGTAGCCCAATTACAACAGGACTAGCTTTATTCAGTATTTTATAATGAAGATTTATATTAGAGAGGTTTTTTCCGTAGAAGTAATGTTTTTTAGATTGCCTACATCTGGTATTTTTATTTTCAACGAAAAGAAATGTTGCTTTGCATTGAAATCGGTTGAAATGAACTCTCTTGTGACATAGGAACTATAACTGTTGATGGAACTTGCACTTGGGGAAAGGGGCAATCTGAAATGCCTCGTTCGAATGTGAAACATACGGGTTTCGCTGGACTCCTAACGATTGCGAATATATCCTAAGCACAAGTTGAAATGGCGCTTTCTTCGTCTCGCAGTTGCGGTGAGCCGGCGCATCCAACCGCTAGCTGCGCAGAATAACTCGGGTTTTTAGGACGTAGAATTTACGAGGTTTGTGAGCGAATGTTTTAGTGGTGTATGCGCTGCGATGATACTTGCCGGGAATGTATCCGGCTCAGCGCAACAACATCATAACCCTCGTAGACGTTATTCTCCGCTCATAATGGATCTTTCAGGCGGGTTAATGGATAGCGAAACTCTATGAAGCCTCGCGGTTATATTTATAAAGCGCCACCATTTCAAGAATGTAGAGACATTATCCCGGTTATGGAGACTAAAACTAACTATGTAAACCAAAGGCAACACTGTCATTCTCAAAATGATAAACTGCATGATAATAGCTTCCCAGTCTGACGTGAATAAAAAAAATTATTAATTAGTTTTCATCCGAAATAGCAACTGACTATTGATATGTGAATGTTGTATAGTCACACTGGCAGCATTCATGGCTAGTATGAATACGTAATCAGACCACTTGCGTGATGAATTCACATGCAGTAGCCGCGTGTAATTATACAGCAACCTCATGTGGATTGCTCTGCAGAATGGCTTTGTATGAACATTCTCTGCGTTACGTAGTACCTCTGACATCTGACATTTAATGTATAGCCATCACGGGGTTGGAGGCAGCCATCTGCGCGGAGTCGGCCGTAAATAATCCATAATAATATTATAGGTTCTGGAATTTTGATGGGATGATCGGGATTCAAGATTATTTCGATGTGCATGCCGGAAGAAACAAGTTTGATTTCAAAAATTTACTGCGCCGCTCCTATCTGCAAAAATTCCGTCATACGCAGTGCATAACCCCAAGAGTAGATAATAACACATGTGTGTTATTATCTACTCTTGATAACCCCTAATGCAGTTGCATCTTGGAATCTGTTGGTTATCTGATAATGCTCTGTTTAATACATTTGGTTCACTTGTTCCTGGATAAGAATATTATCTGGCAGGTTTATGTATTGGTTCATCGAGTAGACAGATTGACCTTTTCTTAACCTCAGTTTTGACCTCAGTGTACTGTTGCGATCTTCACTGAATGCAAAAGACAAATCTAAATCTAAATATCACAAGCAGTTCTCCTATAAATTTAATACAGAACCACTTAAGCACATGTATAATATGTAATGGCTTGATAGAACACCGAAGTTGCGATGAAATGCAGGTGTTACGTGTATCAGTTACTTCTTGTCACTGCAATATATATATCAGGAGTAGATAATAGGGATTCCCTATTATCTACTCCTGATATATATATATATATCACTGCCACATATAACGATTGTTATGTCAGCTCTGTTCGCACCGAGAGTGGGCAGACGTCTGCAGTTTTATCTAGAAAATAAAGCAGAAATTAATTAGAAATTTTGTAATTAAAACCATTTGGCCAAAATGCAATTATGTCTGTTTATGCTGCGTGACCTTACTGACAAGCACACTCTGCCAACGGGGCCAATGTATGTGGCCCCGAGACGTACGAGCGCATTCTAAAATAGCTCAAGATCTATACTTATACATGCGGCTACTATCGTTAGTTTGCAGACAAATGATTGCTTAATAACCCAGACGGCTTCTAACGTCATAACACCGTAGGGAATGCATTTATGCGAGTCGTTTTCATAATTTTAAATCGAATAAATCTTCTAGGCAAATCGAGCACTGTTTCGCCATTATAATGTACGAGTGTGGAAGTTGTACAAGAGTCCATAATAGACTAAAAAATTGCATAAAGATTTTTTTCTTATGAAAGATGCTTGATACTCTCGAAGTTATTATAACGCTCGTGTGTATTGACGGCATTTATCGATCTTACACGAGTCAAGATGAGGCTTCATTGGATAAACATGATATCAGCAAGAGTGATATCATAGATAACAACATAATTATCGCATGTTATATGTGAGTTCTGATATCAGGTGAGCTGCTCTTTTCAGTGATTTTTTTTATTGATTTGATTTTTATAATTTAGTTTGATTTTTATTGTAACAAATCTTAGTGCTAACGTAGGGTGACGACTGGGGGATAGCACGAGGGAAAAATACAGGCAGGTGCGTGTGCGTGCGCGTGCGCGTGTGTGTGCGTGTGCGTGTGTGTGTGTATGTGTGTGTGTGTGGCTGTACGTTCTCACTCTATAGTGCAGTGGGAGGGGAGCAGAGGTGGGGGGGGCACCACCGAGCCCCACGCGTCTTGCTTTGTATAGCCTTTCCACACCGATATCTCGTGATGAAAATTTGCCAAAGATTTGCCAAAAATTTGCCAATTTGGCAAGATTGCCCAATCGACAACGCGTGCAAAGCCCACCTGGTCCCTGCTATACTTGTGGCACAACATGTTGCAGCGTGTAAAATTACACGATACAGTAACTAGTCGAATAATTTAAGTCGAAGGTGACGAATTTAAAACTCTCATGTTCAATTAGACTATTGCTCTGAGATTGACATATGACATTGAATAGTTGTCACTTTCTCGCAACTTGGATGCTGCGTCAGCGAGTCAATGTATATACATACTATATATACTATATATATATACTATATATATATATATAATATATAAGCTGCCGTTCACACGAGGAGCAAAGTTGCGTTCACGACGCTAAAAATATACGGCGGCTTGCTTAGCGCTGAATGCTCGCGGCTTGCTAACGCGGAATATATTCACCGCGCCCATCTAAGCCGCGTATACTTCGTCACCGACGCTGGCCGCGTATTGCTCACACCCGCTAGACTGGTACCCCGTTCTCGCCTGCAACGACGTTAGTGTAAGCGTGTGGAACTCGCGACCGACAACCAGTCTATCTATTCCTGGCTAGCTAACCCTGCGAATCTCCGTGTAACTCGTCGTGACGCATTTTTACCAGAACTTGAGCACGCAACAAGTACGCGTACCAGCTAGGCCGTGTATACGTGTGAACGCAGCTATAGGGTTTTCAAAGCTTTTAAATTATAGCATGGGGGTGCTATACTCACTGCTGGGGGGGGGTCCGGGGCATGACCCCCCCGAAAATGTTTTGTAACTTGTAGAAGCTCTAAGATGCAATCTGGACACTCTGTGTTAATTTTGAAGCACTGCATATGGGGTGAAAATGTTTGTTTTGCCATGGGCAAAGCCACATCGGAAATTCAAAATAATCATTTCTTGATGAAGCTAAGAAACACACTCCGGATTTGAAGTTTAACAATGAACCATTATTGTGGCCAGCTAGCCTACACAGTTGGTTGGATTGATTGTCAGTGTCCCAGATGCAAAATTATTGACAGAAAAAGTTATACACCAATAGATATCAATTTTGGTACTATAACACGCCGTAGATATAAGATAGCCAATAAAGTCATTTTAAGAGTTTATGTTAGGTATTAGGTAAAGGGAGACTGTTTGTACTTGTGTGTGGACTGCTATAGCCCGTAGCATCGAGACCAACGCAATTATTATAATATTGTTTGTGAACTGTCTTGTGTGTACACCAGCAATGGCGGCTATGATATTTAGGTGCGCGGTGCATTTTAGGAATGGTGGGCCCTCGACGATCGATAGCACTGGCGTGCTGCCAGGCTTATAAGTCCTTTGGAGAACCTGATATATTATACATAATATACTATACATATATATAATCAAATAGATAATATTGAAAATAATATGTAGATGTACTACTTACTTTTAATAAAAGCAGCAACACAAACCTGTGCAAATTTTAGTATGCATGTCTGCAAAGTAGTCAATAGGAGTTCATAATAAGTTAAATCTAATCATGTGATTGAGATGTTATCCTGAGGTTATGGCAAAGTTTCGGTGAAAGTTACTGACAGGTAGATGCGCACAGGAAGTGCTAAGGAGTTGAGGTCCATGTTGTCTTTTGCAAAGAAATGCAAAGATTTTTAAATATGCCAGTGCGTATAATTTGTACAACGACTATGCCACGTAGGACTGTGTCTATCCAGCATTGCACCTTGTTGTATCTGTCTCATGACGTTACATTTATTTTCAGGGAGATATCAGGAACCTCAGTGACGTCATGAGAGTAGCGCAGGATGCTTCATGCATCTACCACGTAGCCTCCTTTGGCATGTCCGGAACAGAGATGGTAAGATTGTCGTGATAAGAGTGTGCTCATAGAGACAGTACTATAGTGCTGGCTTAGTAGTCGGTGCATCCATCAATAGATGTAGAGCACGTGAAGCATGCATGCTCTCTGGGGCAATGAACAGGAATCTTAATTGACTGGATCTGGCTGACATTCCTACGCTTTTTTATTTTATTTTTACGCACATACACTATAACACAAAAATAGAATGCTTGTAGTATACTTGCTCTGTCTGGCATTAATTGTTATCGTGTTTCCGCCAAGGGTTTTCATCGGATGAAATTTTGTTTTGAACATCGGCTTAATTAAAATTTTGCCGAGTGCGAGGCTGTAATATGTAGCTGTACCGTATGAATACGTATAATTAATATGCATTCATATACATATGTGTACGATGTACGAAGTGTAACTTCGAGTAATCTGGCATTACGTGGCTTCAGTAATGGCAAACCCATTCTGCTCTCTTGCTTGATGTAGTACGTACTGATAAAGATAGGCAAGCAAATATAGTATAATCCCTCACTTTCACAGGTCACCAGTTATATAGATGCGGTTATATAGATGCGGTAAACATTGTATAAAAGCTAGTAATACGTGTCACATATTTCACATTTGAACATGTGTGATAAATGCGAGGGTTTTTTCATTTTATCTCATTCAAATCCACTAACGGTGAATGCATAAATTGTTACGTAGACGTCACATGGGAAACGGTATTAAAATTCAACTAATACCCAATGCACCGAAGGTTCTCAGATATTACTCGAACAGATCACTGATTTTCATCTCTAGCTTGTTGTTGATATTATATCTGTATCTGTACGTCACTGCTGAGGCTTCTATGCTGCTTTTACCCCGATGTGTTACGTGAGATGTTGAGAGTGTTCGTAGTCGCTGTTGCCAGGTGTTTACGATGCTACTAAACTGTTCTTAGCCGCGTGTCACGCATTGATTTTAACTCCTGGCCAGCCGCCGCTCAATAACTGTCTGCATGCGCTCGCCGCCGCCACTGCGCTGCATCATAATATATCTGTTCCTCCGTTGCAGTTAAACAACAAGCTCATAGAAGCGATCAATGTCGAGGGAACCAAGAACGTGATCAAGGCGTGCAGGCAGTGCGGTGTTGAGAGACTCGTCTACACGAGCTCAGTCAATGTCGTCTTCAATGGAAATCCGATCGCGTGCGGCGACGAAACACTGCCCTACATACCCGAGCAGAAGGTACTCATCGGCAGACCGATGGCCCGCGTTCGAAAATCAATGAGGACCTGGGGATGCGATTGATTGTGCTGATAGATAAACTTCGATGTTTGCATTTGCGAGCGTGTGCCACGGTGATTATTATAGCGTGGTTAGGTGCGCGTGTTTCCTCTTGTTCTGTAGATCGTGTTTGTGTCAGTTTTTTTATGGCTAAGTTAGCGCTGCTTACTTGCAGGCCATATCTAGTTCTAATAAGTACACGGAATTTAAAACTGCTCTTTCAGAATGTAAATGTGGTACAGTCAAAGCTGTATATAAGGGCCACTTGCGTCGAATGCCAGATCAACTTTTAAGAAACGTGACCTTTCTATAGGAGTAGTTACGCCATATCGCCAGTCACGAGATGACTGAATTGTCCTTTATAGATGCTGTAACCATTCTATAGCTAGTGTTAGCTAGTATTGAGAAAGTAGACATTTCATATGATATGATTGGAACATTTATGTCCTAGGGACTAAGGTTGGCAGGGGGGCATGTCCTCCAAGAAAGTTTTTACAAAAATTATGCAGTTTGGTGCTTTCTGAGGTATGCTAAATCAAAAAAGACTGTAAAAGAACTAGTAATAAAAATCGTGCACATCATAAATTTCTCCAGTAAAATGAGTGCATGGCCGTCGTCAGCCGTCGGCAGTACAATTGACTGTCTAATGCAAAGGTAGGCTGTCGAAAAGTCGCAGTCTAGAGCAAACACTAGCCGTGACGGCAAACCGCGGGTGCGGTCGTAGTCGCGGCGAGCGGATGTTAACGCATGCTCGTGTTTTGCACACAGCACATCGACCACTACTCGCGCACGAAGAGCATCTCTGAGCAGCTGGTACTCGCGGCCAACGGGGAGACTGTCGCGGGCGACAAGACTCTCCGCACGGTGGCGCTGCGCAGCGGCGGCATCTACGGACCAGGCGAGATGAGACACACGCTGAGGATCATCGTACGTGCAGCGCCGCTGCCGCCGCCGTTACTCTGTAGACGCGATGCCGCGTAACCCCCGCCGCCCTGTCGTCGCAAACACGAATACACTAGTCCTTGCAGTAACGCGCGTGCAATAATGCAAATTCTGACGTGATGGTCATATTGCTTACGGTTTACGTTTTTACCCCTCTTTTCTCTCTTTAATCCTCCTTGAACTTTTAATGAACGCACATTTTATGCGATTTTATTTTGTGGGACTCATTTATGCGACTATAGTGCAGTGGGAGGGGAGCAGAGGGTGGGGGGTTGCACCACCGAGCCCCACGCGTCTTGCTTTGTATAGCCTTACACCGATATCTCGTGATGAAAAATTGCCAAAGGAAAGTGCGATAAGATTTGCCGAAACGTAGTGAGTCTTAGATTGGATTCGTTAAGGGCAAGATTGCCCATCACGGTGCAAGCCCACCTGGTCCCTGCTATACTTGTGGCACAACATGTGCAGCGTGTAAATTACACGATACAGTAACTAGTGAATAATTTAGTCGAAGGTGACCTTTAAAACTCTCATGTTCAATTAGACTATTGCTTGAGATTGGCATATGACATTGAATAGTTGTCACTTTCTCCCAACTTGGATGCTGGGAGCGAGTTCAATGTATATATTATATATATATACAGGGTTCTCAAGGCTTTTAAATTATAGCATGGGGGTGCTACTCACTGCTGGGGGGGGGGGTCCGGGGCATACCCCCCGGAAAATGTTTGAATTGTAGAAGCTCTGAGATGCAATCTGGGACACTCTGTGTGTAAATTTGAAGCACTGCATATGGGGTGAAAATGTTTGTTTTGCATGGGCAAAGCCATCGGGAAATTCAAAATAATCATTTCTTGATGAGCTAGAAAACACTCGGATTTGAAGTATTAAAATGAACATTATTGTGCCAGCTAGCCTACACCAGTTGGTTGGGATTGATTGTCAGTTCAGATGCAAAATATTGACAGAAAAAGGTTATACACCATAGATAAATTTTGGTACTATAACACGCGTATATAAGATAGCCGAGTCAGTTTAGAGTTAGTGTTAGGTTTAGGTATAGGGAGACTGTTTGTACTTGTGTGTGGACTGCTATACCCGTAGCATCGAGACCAACCAATGTATTAAATAATTATTGTTTGAACTTCTTGTGTGTACACCAGCATGGCGGCTATGATATTTAGCGTGGCGGGTGCATTTTAGGATGGTGGGGCTCGACGATCGATAGCCTGGCGTGCTGCCAGGCTATAAGTGCCTTTGGAGAACCCTGATATATATACATATATATACATAGATAATATTGAAAATAATATGTAGATGTACTACTTGGGACTTACTTTTAATAAAAGCAGCAACAAAAATCTGTGCAAATTTTAGTATGCATGTCTGCAAAGTAGTCAATAGGAGTTCATAATAAGTTAAATCTAATCATGTGATTGAGATGTTATCCTGAGGTTATGGCAAAGTTTCGGTGAAAGTTACTGACAGGTAGATGCGCACAGGAAGTGCTAAGGAGTTGAGGTCCATGTTGTCTTTTGCAAAGAAATGCAAAGATTTTTAAATATGCCAGTGCGTATAATATTAATTTTGTACAACGACTATGCCACGTAGGACTGTGTCTGTCCAGCATTGCACCTTGTTGTATCTGTCTCATGATGTTACATTTATTTTCAGGGAGATATCAGGAACCTCAGTGACGTCATGAGCGTAGCGCAGGATGCTTCATGCATCTACCACGTAGCCTCCTTTGGCATGTCCGGAACAGAGATGGTAAGATTGTCGTGATAAGAGTGTGCTCATAGAGACAGTACTATAGTGCTGGCTTAGTAGTCGGTGCATCCATCAATAGATGTAGAGCACGTGAAGCATGCATGCTCTCTGGGGCAATGAACAGGAATCTTCATATCTCTGGATTCACTCACGGCATGGACTGTATAGCGTCTCAGGGTTGCAACAGCAACGTCGAAAGGGCACGCGTGCCGATCAGCATCCCCTCTGGTGGTGATGGGATTATTTAAATAACCGCCCGATAGGAGCATTGGACTCATATAAACCAGGGGCTAAGTAATCAGCATTCACTCTTGACTATTTACTCCTGATATAAACGAAATGGGCTCCACATAATATTTTTCACATGAAGTGGCATTCGTTAACGCAACGCAGCGAATAGTATGACATCCTAATATATAAGTTTATTATTAGAAGCCAGATTAGCGTGCAAACACTGAGTTGCGTAAGCGCAGGCACATAACTCGCAGAGCGAGCGCCGCGCGTGTATATATGTGTCGTGTGTAGTGTGATGTGCGGTTGTGGGTGTGTGTTGGTGTGTGTGTGATGTGCGGCTGTGTGTTGTGTGTGTGTGACGTTGCGTGCGTGCGTGCGTGGTGGCCCACTGTTGCCGTTGGCCACGTTGCGTGTATGTGGTGTGTGCAGTGGTGTGTGTTTGTGTGTGTCGTGGTGTGTGTGTGTGTGTCTGTCTCTGCTGTGTCTGTGTCTGTCTGTCCTTCCGTCCGTCCGTCGTCTGTTGTCTGTCTGTCTGTCTGTCTGTATGTCTGTCTGTCTGTTTTGTCGTTCTGTCTGTCTGTCTGGTCTGTCTGTCTGCTGTCTGTCTGGCTGTTCTGTCTGTCTGTCTGGTCTGGTCTTGTCTGCTCTGGTCTGTCTGTCTGTCTGTCTGTCTGTTCTCCCGCCCGGTCCGTCCGTCTGTGTGTGTGTCTGTCTGTCTGCTCTGTCTGTTTCGAGAGGCAACATTTTTCTGCTATCAGATTTTTATGTTAGTAGGCCCGTAGCCAGATTTATATTGAGGGGCGGGGGGGCTTCGTTTTTCAATGTTGGCCAATTTTGCTCGGCCAGGGGCGCACACTTCCCGTGGTACAGGAATTTGTCACGAGGGGGCGGGGGTCTAACCGTAACCCAAAGTTGCTGCTGCACGGCACGGCGAAGGGTGGGGTCTGGGGGAAGAAATTTTTAAAATTAGGACCCCCTCAGGATGCGTTTTTGCGCGCAGCAAGGGGGGGGTGGTCCGGACTCCCTGGACCCCCCGTACCACGCCCCTGGGCTCGGGCGCCGAAGCGACCAGGCGAGGGAGCTAAGCGATCCGAGAACGGGCACGGGGAGGCGGCTGTGGGCAGGGGGGTGCTTCACTGTTCACCCTCCCGCACGATTCGGAGATTTGCAATTTATTACACTAAAATGTGAGCGACCTGACGGTGAAATTCTTGCAAATTTAAAAAAAAAAAAATTTTTTGTTGGGGGGGGGGGGCTCCTGGGGAAAACCCCTCGAACCCCCTGGCTTACTTGGGACCTGATGTTAACAAATTAGTTGCTTGTGTAACAGAATTGTTGCCACTATTTGCAGCGACAGCCGGCGACGCCCGGAAAGGAGAGATTGTATGAATGCGTTATTGTGCTAAAACCGCAAGGCTATAACAGATTGATCAGGCCTGTACGCAACCACCACGGAAGGCCTAACGACGTTCAGTTCGGAATCGGGCACTGATTCACGATTCTGTGAATGTGCGTCAGTAAGAATTATAAAAATTGCTTTTGATACGCGCATCATAGGATTTGTCGTACATATAGCTTATATTATATGACCCCCCTCCCACTACACACAAGGACACGCACACACCAGCACACACACACACACACACACCACACGACACAACAACACCAACGACACACACACACACCAGCACAGCACACACACATACACACACATAACATACACTCACACGCACTCACACACACACACACACACACACACACACACAACAACACACACACACACACACAACACACACACACGCACGCACGCACGCACACACACACCACACACAAAACACACGAGCACGCCACGCCACGCACGCACGCACGCCACGCACGCACAGCACACACACACACACACACACACACCGTTCTTCGTTTCACTAAGGTCCGCATGATGCTTTCACACAAATCGAGCTTATTAGATTGACTTATTTACTACAGGTACTTGTAATACTTATATTACAGATACTTAAACACTTAGACCTAATGTGCACGACAAAAGTATTCATACTTACCATTACTTATAGCAATAATTCGAAGCATAAACAACGCATAGCGGCATATGTAATAACGAATGCGAGTATAACTCTACAACTGGTAGGGACGACTAAATGGTTAATGTGTTAGCATAATATATAGGTGCTATAGTTTATAATTAGCAAGTTTCTTCTGTGGCATATTTAGTATGAGAAAAATCAAAATATGGAAGACGAATATTTGGGAAAGATACCGTAATAGGGGGTTTAGTAAATCGTATCATATACACAGCTATGTTTTATATTATAATGATTCGGCCACGACACCGTGTTACTGTGGCTGTTCCAATAGGGTTGTCACCGGTTTGTTGTTAATAATGGACGATATTTTTACAGCATGGCCGAAATTTTTAAATGGCAGGAATTAATACTTCATATATTGCTGGAAATGGCCCAGAATCCAACGTCGTTTGTTGTCAAGCCATTATTGAACGGATAATTTCAATATTATGATTGAACTTAGGATAGTACATTTACCTCTAGATATGGCACGATTTACCAACTCAACATGCGGATCCAGCCGACGTATGAGGCGTACGCGTTAACCTCGACTTCGAGGTCCCCTGACCAAAGTTTGGCCTTCCAGATATCCGTTGCTTTTCAACGGAGTAGGGTCAAGCGTCGAAATATCTTCACAACCTGTAAAGTATGGGGGACAATAACTATTGTAAAGTAAGCTTATTCTTATTATTGAAAAATATCGGTTAAGTCGTGCGAATAATAGTTATTTAGCTCATTTTTTTTTAGTCAGAATATTTTACACGTGAAAAAGTGAAATTGTTACTCGGAATTAAAGCCGTTACTTGTTTCAATCAAAATTTTCTTTTCTTATTATTCAGCCCCTGATGGGAAACTACGAGCGTCAGTTAGTTATTAAATGCAATTGTAGTACTTTATCCTGAA